AGGAAAGCCCTTCGTCCTATCAGATGTCTTTGTTTTTCTAGTTCACAGTCAGTGGTATCTTGTTTGCATTTAATATTTTTAACTATTCAAAGCGTTTTTACCTCATTAGATCTCATAGCAGCTGCTTGAGACAGAGGGTGTTTCCTCTTCCTCAGTCAGACAAAGAAAGGAGGTTGTGAGGTTTAAGGCCATGGAGTCAGTTAGTGCCAGAGCTGGAATAGAAACCCAGTCCTTTTCAACATTTTTCAATGTTTGAAGACAGACCATGGTGAGAGGATCCTGTGAAAATGTAGGCTCGGTTCAGAGGACCTTGGACGGGGAGCCAAACGCTGCATTTTCAACAGGGTTCCAGGTTACTACTGGTCACAGGATGACACTGAGTAGCAGGAAATTAGACTACGTTGGGCATTAGATTCCATTCGTTGGCTTTCCCTGTGTGCAGCTGGCAATGCAGATAGATTTTCATGGCATGTTTAGCAGAAAAAAGGTTCTTGCGTCAGAAAACATCTTAATACTGTTCTAAAGCAAGAAAGACTGACATTAAAAGTTGGGTGTGGCTTTCATCCTGGGCAGTAGCTTTCTTCTCCACACAATCCATCTAGGATTAACAGGCAGGTTGTTCCCTCCTGACTGGGGCTGGAGCTAAGTGAAATGTGCTTTGATACTCCTGTTTATTTACCTTTATGATAAGACCTTATTGGAAATTACCATCTTGGACTCAATCCCAAATGCATTTGTATTCTGGAAGCTGCAGTTACAGACTTCATTGACAGAAAACAAACTTGCAGCACTTTCAGTCTCCAGGCTCTCCTGAATGCCTTGCAGCTAAGTGCTCCTGCGTCCAGTGCTCTGTGTGGCTCTGTGGATGGACAGAATTTTCTCCAAAGGGCCCAGAGTCTCTTGCTCAATGTGTGAGATCTGGTCTGGTAACCACACCGCATCCTAAATGCTAGTCACTGTGGTGTGGCTGTAAGGAAGCCTTTGTGAGCAGAAGCAATCAGCTCCCAAGGGCTGGATTTGGTGTGGGGTACACCATCAGGTTTGCAGGGGTCCAGAGTGGAGGACAGATGTGGCACTGTCGCCTCTTCCTGTATCTAAGGATGGAGCTGGAATAGAGGGCAATTCGCCATGCCCAGGCACAGACTCTGAAAGGCAAAGGTGCTATTTCACTTTTATAACCAGACTGACTAGTGTGGGGAGGTGTCAGCTTTCTTTGATAAAGCGATGTTTGGTTTTCTCAACAACACTTACTGTGACCTTTTAGAATATGACTAGAGGACAGATATCACACAGTTGATGTAGTTCCAAATGTCAAGCCTTCCAAAAGTCAGGCTTATAGCCTATCCAGGGTGAGTTTGTTTCAAAGACCAAGAAACCGAACGTGGGTACTGAGCCCAGCTCTTAACCCAGAGTCACTAGGGTGGAAGCAGTGGGGTAGACTGTTACAATAGGGTTAGAGGATTTTATAAAACACAAAGTTGTGGGGGAGGGAGGGCTGGCGAGATGGCTCAGTGGTTAAGAGCACTGACCACTCTTGCAGAGGAACCAGGTTCGATTCCCAGCACCCATATGATGGCTGACAACCATCCATAACTCCAGTTCCAGGGGATCTGACTCCCTCTTCTGAACTCCTTGGGTACTACATGACACGAGTGCACTTACACATGTGCAGGCAGTACATTCACACATAAAAATAATTTTAAAAAATTAAAAAATAGGCTGGGCATAGTGGTGCACGCCTTTTATCCCAGCACTCAGGAGGCAGAGGCTGGCAGAGCTCTGTGAGTTCAAGGCCAGCCTGGTGTACATAGTGAGTTCCAGGAAAGCTGGGGCTACAGGGAGACTGTGTCTCAAAAAGACCAAAAAAAATAAACTTTAAAAAATTAAAAAATATTTTAAAAGGAAAGATTTTTGTTGTAGGGTTTTTAATTACTTTTTATTATTTTATGTATTGTACTGCTTGCATGCTTGCATTTAAGTGTACCTATGTCATGCAGTGCCCATGGAGGTCACAAGACAGTGTTGGATCCTGACACTGGAGTTACAGAAGGTTGTTATCTTTCATGTGGGTGCTGGGAATCAAACTCAGGTTCTCTGCAAGAGCAGCCAGTGTTCTTAACTGCTGAACTATCTCTCCAGCCCCGTGGTGGGCTTTTTAAATTTTGCTCTGCGAGTACTGGGGATTGAGCCTAGGGCCTCACGCATGTTAGGCAAGCCATCGAACACTGAAGTGTATCTCAACCTTTGCACTCACTTTTAAAATTTTTGAGTTAGGTTCTCAATTGCCCAAGTTGGCCTTGAACTCACTTTGTAGCCCTGAGTAGCTGGGATTACGGGAACTACATTTTCTTTTTCTGTTTCGGGAGCACAGATCCCAGTGTAGCCTATCCTGGCCTAACCTATCTTCCAGCTTCAGATTTGTGGTGCTGGGATCACAAGCATGCACTACCATGACCAGCAGGAAGATACAGTTCTTAAAGGATTATTCTGAGAACATAAAGTGTGTATTTATTGCTTTTGCACCGTCGCACTCAGCTAATACATTGAGTTCTCACTATGTGTTTAAAGCTGTCCTAGCTGTGAAGTGGTGAGAGTACAAGAAACTGAATAAAAAGAGGCTTTGTCCCGGAGCCCATGCTTGATCTAAGAAACTGAGGTACAAAACTAACAAACATGGCGATCTAGTAAGTAACAGCAGGTCCAGGGCAGAGAAGCAGCAAAAGCTAATCGGACAGCCAGTGCTGCCACGTGTTTCTGAAACACACAGATTAGAACAAGTCTATGCTGGGAAGCTGGGAAGGACAAAGGCTGAGAAGGGCAAGTTCAGTCACATCGTGAAGTCCTTGAAAATCAAGGCTAGAGTTGTTCATGCCGGTGGAAACAGCCCATAAAGTTTAGTGTATCTTCAGATTTTTACCTCTGAAAAAAATCATCAGGATTCATGAGAGTATCTTTAAGGTAAAAAGGAGACCTTTGGTCTTACACCCCCTTCTTGGTGCCGAGTCCCACTCTGTACCCCAGGCTGGTCTTGAACTCTGGCCAGTACTCCTGCCTCAGCCTCCAAGTGCTGGGATTACAGACATTCACCACCATGCCAAAGTCCTAATAATTATTCAAAAAATAATTTTATTTTAGAATTATTTCTCCACAGATGAAAAAAACTTTAAATCAAATACTGATAACATTACTGATTCAATTTTTGCGTCACTCTGCTATACGGGAGACATCCAAAGCAAATGTCACTCAGGTTCACTTTGGGTTTTTTTTCTTTTTGTCTTTTTGAGACAGGGTCTCCCTGTAGCCCCAGCTGGCCTGGAGCTCACTATATAGACCAGGCTGGCCTCAAAGTCACAGGAATCCACCTGCCTCCACCTTCCAAGAGCTGAGACTAAAGGCGTGTGGCACCACACCCGGCTTCAATTTTTTTCCTTCTTTGAATTGGATCCTGAAAAAAAAAATTAAGGCTTTTCTAAAAGCAGAAACAAAATGCTTGTGAAAAAAGAAGTGTTCTTTAAGTTTTGCAATCGAGTCTATGGTTTTTGGTACAGTCAGAAAATTGTGGTTTTTGTTTCTGCTCCCCATTAGATCTGTGACATCAAAGATCATTGATCTGGCTTTTCCTTTATCACAATCTTGGTCATGTTTTTTGTTGCTGCCTGCCCTGCCTACTACACTGAAAACTGTGAGTGTTGGGGCTCTTCAGTTAGTTCCATCTGCACGCTACTCAGTAGTCAATGGAAAAAATGCTTATTTTGTCCGCAAATTTCCCATCGCTTTTGTTTTTGTAATGTACATGAATTTGAACCATTAAAGCTTGGTTAATTTTTCTCTTTATTTTTAGCATTTTTATTGCTGATTAGCACTTTTTCTAAATAAGACTATCCTAATCCAACTTGGAAGATAAAGCACAGTACACTCAGGTACAGTGAAACTAAATTTGGATAGGAAAAGCTCTAAGGGAAGTGTGGCCAGTGTTGTCAACCGGACAAAACTGGCAATCACCTGGGAGACGAGCATGCCTGTAGGGAAGTGTCTTGATCCAGGTGAGAAAACCCACCTACCGTGGGTGGCACCATTCCCTAGGCAGAAGATCCTGGACTTCGTAGTCGTAAAAGCCAAGTACTATTGCCTGTGTATTCACTATTCTCTGTTCCTCATGGGACTGGGACCAGCTCCCCCCAGCACTTGCCACTGTGATACAATAAAATGGAAGAACTCTGAGCCAAAATAAACTCTCCCCTAAATTGCTTTTGTTTAGTGTTTTATCACAGCAATCAGAAATACTCTAATATACAAAGTCAATTTGCTATTGAAGTCAATCCCTATTCCTGACAAGGGGGGGGGAAGGCAAATCAAACTCAGCAACAATTTCTGAATGGAGCAACTGACCGTATTCTAAGTTTTACAGATGCCAAGCACAATGATTTGTTGGTAGACCTGGTACTAAGCCCTAAAACCAAACTGCTCTGCGTGGTAGTCCTTTGTATTCAAAAGTACACCAGTCATCTCAGGAAGCACGGCCCTACAGTTGAATATACAGGTGTACATTTCTTTAATGTAGTCCATTACATTATGCATCCTGTTACAATGAAAATCTTGTGTTACTTGGAAGCCTACTTTATTTCCAGCAACATTATATACAACTAAGCACATACAATGCAATGATTAACAACTCCTTAAAAATGTTAGAGCTAAATCACTAAGAGTAACTGGGTAATTTTCACGCTGTGCTCAACATTAGATAACACATAAAAATGTAAGTAGGACACAGATTTCAAAGATGTGCTTTTTTCTTTGAACCAGCCTTGGATAATAATATATCGTCAATGAAGAAGTTAATTCGTTTTGTTTTCACACATTTCTCTTCCTGCATCTCCGGTTACAGACCTCACACATGTGCCTTTGGATACTAAGCATTCTTTAAGATAAGTTCCTATTAACTATTAAAAGTACACTCAAATAATAAGTGTGCAAAATCATTGTCTTTTACAACAAAACCATCAAATATTCAGGGAACTTTATTTTAAACCATAAATCAAACAGACACAGCTTTCATTTACCCAAACATGCATAGTCCAACCTGAACATAAAATGCACTCAATTGGCAAGTTACACACAGGATACAAAGGGAATGCAATTTTACAAATGTAAAATGATTGCCAGCTACAGTAACTTAACAAATTAATCAAAAGTCTGTATGTTTGTTTAAAAGACAAAAATACCTTAAAGCCAATTATCTATAGTAAACTGAGGGAAGTCTGATAATGGAATGATTTGATTCAAAGCAAATAAGGCACCTATTATAAATTTAGAGTAATAGCTTTCATTTTAAAAGTCAGAGTAAAATAGAATTAGTTGACCAAAACTTGCTTCAAAGAGGGAAGGAAGGACAGGGAGGTTTGATTGACTGAGTGAAAGGCAGGTACCAAGTCAGTCATGAAGCTGCAGACACAGGTCAGCTCTCTTCCTGTCCCAGGACTTGCGTCCTGTGCGTCTTTACCTCTCCTTTCCTTTGCTCCACATGAGGGGATGAGTCCCCTGTGAGGTTTATACTGTTTATAGACTAGGTAGTAAATTTCCCTTCTGTTCCTTTGAAAACAGCTTATTTCAAGAGACATCCTGAGGCAATTAACAAAGCAAACGTAAGCAGGCTTCTTCCAATTCATTAATACAGTGCTCAGCTTTTTGCACCAAGTTATGGCTAAGTATATAAACAGCCAATACTTACAGAAACAGCACTAGAAAAACCCAAAACCTGCCTCATCACCCTCACCTTACTACTAGAAAGGAGACTTGATCAATCATAACCTACAAAAAAAACCATACAAAGGAAGACTAGACTGATTCTCATCAGTAAATCCATTTAATTCCAAATGCCACTTTAGATTGACATAGCTAGTATGCTAAGGGCGTTTCAATCAGAAATCTGGAAGAAACAATTTCCATACCATGTGCAACTTTTTAGTAGATGTGCCTTTCTGGTACTAAAAGTGCTACTAACATGCTAAGATGTCTCATGGCACACGGGATTCTACATGTTCGGATGAGGCATTTATTTCTTAAAGTATTTTTCCCTTAAATTTTGTCTAGTATAACAAACCTGAAAAATTAATTCTGGTGAATCAGTTTGACATACACAAACCTTCCCTGATTTCACCCCACTGTGATAGCCTTTCATGAAACTGCAGTCACTGATTAAGTTTCAAAATGCTAAAGCAAGTTTTTTTTAAATGGGACCTTAGGTTACTAATACTCATGTGAAGTTGAAGGTTGTGTAATAGAAACATTATCATTAAAACAGACAGAGCTATAAGCATCTCTGCTTATATTATGCCTTTGAAGCTTTTAAAAAACCATACGTGGATACAATTGTGGCAAAACTAGGCTGTGCGGTTGTCCATTTGTAAGCACCTTACTATGACCCTGTAATGGAGTGTGCTTTCCATTTGAGAGTAATAAAGTGCCTAGCTATAGAAAACCTTAAGATTCCAAATTTTAAATTAAGCTAATTGCATTTACACCTTAGGGTTAACAAAATCTATACCCTGTCTACACAGATTTAATCTAATTAACTATACTGTTTTAATAACCACATAAAACTCATTTTCTATTGAATGAGTAAGGTCTACTATTGGAACTTAATCATCAAATTTTATTGCTTTTTTCATATGGTGCTTTTGCAAGGCACTGTGGTATGGACTAGAAAACCTGGAATGACTGGTGAATAAACCTTGGAATGACACAGGAAGGATGATAGGAAGGAGTCATTCTGAGGCAGGATGATTTACTGAATTGTTTTTAACCAGGGTGTCAAACATCAGGAATGAGTTCAAGTTAAAATTCACAGGAGAATGGTAACATCTCAAGGTCAGTCACTTCACATGCCCATCCTGATACTTTGAATAATCTGGAAAATTGCTGTAAAGAGAAAGAGCAAATATTAAGATAAGCTTTGAACAAAACAGCCTGTCAACTGGAAAGTTGTCTATTAAGGTAGCTACAAAATCCAGAGTAACTGTATAATCATTTTCAAATGCTAATCTAACTTTATTGTAATAGGAAGTGAAGGAAAGTTTATCCCACTAAAACAATTAAATGTCTACAAATTATTATTGTCTTGTGGTACTTGGCATGGCACCCAGAGCTTCATGCATGCTGGTTAAATATGCCACAGTAAGGCTACATCCTGGACCCAAATTATTATTTCTCCAACAGGCTTCTTGAATTTTGGCTGTAGGTGTCCAACAGAGCTGCCAGATATGGTATTATTTTAGAAAGAACTCAAAAGCACCAAAGCAAACAAGCTTTTCTACCATAGACTTATTTTAGTTAATCTCTAAATAATTAAGTATCCTTAAAAGACTTGGCCTCCAATACATGTGTTTCTTCATTCTCACAAAGCTGAAATTCAATAATCTTTGGGTTATATAAACTGGTTAGCTCTTGGCCATTTATCAAGAAGGCTTCCCGTTGGTAAGTTTAGGAGAAAGACAAAGTAAAATGTTAAAGAGATAGCTCAGTTTTTGAATATAGAAAACAGAATCATCTGCCCCAACATTAACAGCTTATGTATTAAAACAATAAATGGAAAGACATTCTGTAATAGATTGTAGAGGTAAGATTCTATCACCGTAACAATAAGCTGCCTTGATAATTTTTCTTAACATGTCAAACTTAAAAAAATTTAAAAGCACTTGCCTCATACATTAAATTGCCAAACAAATATTTCCACTATAATCAATTCTTTTCACTAACTTTACTTTATAAAAGCTATCCAGTTTTTGATAAAAAGACCTTAGATTTGGGCCCAGTTCAATCAAGTTCTATTATCCACATGTACAAATGTCAAAGGTTTAGGCAAAGGAAGGGATAACAGGGTTGCAAATCATTCTTATTCCAAGAGCTGTTGGATCTTAAATTTCTGCCAACTGGATCATTAGGAAGATCTGACCCCTTTTCTAATCTTGTGAGCGCACACATCGGGGTGGGAGAAGTTTCTGGGGCACCATCCTCGTTGGTACAATCTGATTCAGATGAAACAATTGGTGGAACTCTCGGCAGGTGGGCTGGGAACAACACCGGTAGGGCTCACACCACTGTGCGGTCACCACGTCATCCCAAACCAAGCGGAGCGCCCCCAAACACTTACCAGAGCCACAAACAACAAAAATGAAGAGAGCCAATAACCAGGGTCCTACTGACGCCTTCTCTTCGGGGGCATTTCTCTGCAAAAAGGAAAATCCAGTTTCAGAGGCAGAGAAAGCACTTGGATCCGGGGCTCCCACGGCCCGCACCCCAGGTCTGCAGCCCAGCACTGCAGCGCAGCTGGAGCCCGCACTCAGCCGGTCCGGGAGAACTGGCGGCGGGCCTCCGCCCCGGCGGCCGAAGGAGAGGGACGCCCGCTCCTCCCTTACCGAGGTCTTAGCGACGTTGCCGCGCTGGGTGATGTTCTTGCTGTGCTTCTCGTTGGCCATGCGGATCCTCTGCTTGGCGACCATCTTCGCGGCTCCACCTGCCCCAGGCCCCGCTCGGACACGCTCGCTCGCCGCTCCCGGGCCGCCGGGATGCTCGGCTCGTGGTGCCCGCACCGTCTACGGCCGCTGGGCCTGGATGGAGAGCGGGCGCGCAGCGCTGAGGGCCGGGGCGGCGGAGCTCGGAGGGCGCCGGAAGCGGAGCGGGCCGGGCGTTCTAGCGCCGCGGCTCTAGCGGCCGCCCGGAGCGTGGGGAAAAGGGGAAGGAAGAACAACCACCGCACAGACCAGCCCGCAGCCTTGAGCTACTCCGGTTCGGCTGCCAACGTCAGCACTCGCCCGGCTCCGCCCCGCGGAAGTGCAGAACTCCGCCCGCCGGAGAGCGAGGATGAGGGCGAGCGGCCGCCCCAGTCCGGCCCTTCCACTCTCGGCCGGGCGAGGACTCCGAGCTGCGCGTGCGCGCTCGAAACCGGACGTGCACCCCCGCCCGCCTCCCCCAGGCCGGTGGCCCCGGAAACAGCCACTAGCAGTCTCCACGCTTCAGGAGACGTGTAGTGGCCGGGTTCGGCCTTCGTTGAACTCTCACCCCAGCGCATGGGTTTCTTTTTCCGGGACAAGATGGCGCCGTCCACGCCGCTGTTGACAGGTGAGTTCCGAAAGCAAGAGATGCTGTCCTCCGAGGGGTTGATCTTTGGGTCGTTCCCCTGGAGAACCGCCTGGCCGGTCTAGGGTTCCGAGTCTCCCTTTCTCGTGGTTTGCGGAAGGGCCAGCCTGCCTTTGGACTTTCTTGGCAATAGTGTACCAATAGGAAGTAAAGCCTCTGTCTGGTAGTCCCTCCCGTGTGTTCATCCGTCGTTCTTCATCTTCCACAGGAATACAAGATGAGAAAAAGAAAGTTCTAGTTAGGTTTGTGATTTCTGGCTTGCAAAATTGGTGTTGCTTGGACCCCTCTTAAGTCCTCTGCCTCTCCAATAAAAGATGAACACTTGACTCCACACGTTTAAGACGGCTGGGACTTTAGTGATTACAAATTCTGTGCGCCCGGTTTTAATGACGTTTGTAGGACTGACAGGTTTCCCGAAGAAGGTGAGCAGCCAGCATGGTAGTGTCTACGCAAAAGCGGAACTCTCACTTCAAAGGGGATAAGAGTTTATTCTGGAGCCAAATGCGTGACCATGGCTTGGGAACACAGATTCAGGTTACCACAAATTCCGAGTCCCAGCGTGGTAACAGTTACGTTTTTATAGTAACAGAACAAAGAAAAGTCATAAATCAAGACACTTTTCAAATACCTTAGTGAATACATTTAGTAGGCAGGTCATGGCAAAGCCAGGGGGTTTCTACTAAAGGTCTCAGATGCTATCTGATAACAGTTAGCTTTTTGATCGGTGAGATCCGGTGGCCTGCTAAGTTAATACATTTTATTAGTCGCAACAAGAATGTTAATTCAGAAACAGATGTAGGCAGTGTTTGGCTATTTATGGAGTTAAAGATATCCTCAGATAATCTGTGAATAGGCTCCAGACCTGCAACATTCCAGACACCCCACAATCTCCAGAGTGCTAAACAGCTGGTGAGCCTTGCAGGAAATCAGTCCAAGGTGCAGGAGTTCTTCTAGGAACTTTCCTTCATAGTAGTGATATTCTAATCTTTAGAGTCGAAACAGTTGTGAGCATTTTAGAAGGAGAACATTAGAAGACACCCCCCCCCCAAGAATTTAAAGCTGAGACAGTTTGTAGTACTTTGAAAAAAATAAACAAGCCTTCACCAATGTCTGGAAAGGTGCAGGACTAGGGTGTGACTTGAGTATGTGAGTGTTGTAAAGAGGAATTGAGAGAAAAAACTGGAAAGGAAAAAAGTCTTGACTCAGACTTGACATAGAAAAATGATGAAATCGTTAAGAGAAAACGCGACTTCTGAGAAGGGGGAGTTACAACCCTCTGAGACTGCAAAGCTTTTGCACTTCTTGCCATTGTCTTAAGATGGTTTAAGATCCATGCCTACTGTTCAATTAGATTACAATTTATTCACCAAATATTCATCAAATGGTAGCTGTAATTATTAGTGTGTGTGTGTGTATGCGCGTGAGTGTGTACTGCGTGTGTGTGCACATGCATGCATGCGTGTAAGGATCCTCAGGCCAGAGGATCCCCTGAAACTGGAGTTCCAGTCGTATTGAGAAACCCCCAAGTGAATGCTGGCAACTGAACTGGAGTCCTCTGGCAGTAAGTGCTTTTTAACAGCTGAGCCCTGTCTCCAGCCCTCTGAGGTTTAAATGGCATAATTATGTAATTAAGTAACTTGTTTCTCTAGTTTCATAAAGATAACTTTGTTTCTTAGATTTTTAAAATTTATTTATTTATTTATTTTTTTGGTCTTTTTTGAGACAGGGTCTCCCGGTAGCCCCAGCTGTCCTGAAACTTAGTATGTAGACCAGGCTGGTCTTGAACTCACAGAGATCCGTCTGCCTCCCAAGTGCTGGGATTAAAGGCATGTGCCACCACGCGCAGCTGTTTCTTAGAATTTTTAATATTAAATGATTATTTGAACTCCAATAAAAAATTAGTAATTAAAAAAATCCATTAAATGTTCTTCCCTTTTCAGACATGTAAATCTTAGCTCTTATGGATGAGTTTATAATCTTGGGCTAGCTCTTGGCATTATTGCCACCTCATTTTATTTTGTGATCCATCAATACTGAACCATTTACTAAATTCCTTTAAACAATCTGTTCATTTTTCTTACTATTTTAGGGTTTTATTTTAGGGTTTTCTGTCTGCCTTAGTTTGGAATATAGGTCTGAAATACAAAGTTTAGAAAAAGAAACCCTACTGGTTGTCCAGAATACTGAGTTCCCACCATATTGCTGCTACTTTTGTGACTTCTGGGGTATAACTGCTGCCTTAATAATGAACGGAAACCTTGAAATTTCTAGAAGTAAACTTGGTAGGTGATAATAGCAAAATCACAAATACAGAGGACCAGTGCTACCTCTTTGAAGTGTCGGAGCTTAGGTAGTGAGGTAGTTGAGGTGAGCTAGGGAAATGTTTTTAGTCAAAGCACGTATGCTTGGGCCAGGAGTGAGGGTAACCAAGTAGCTGGATTGCATCTGTTTCTAATTACATTGCAGCTTTATTGGGACTGCACTGACAATGTCCCATTTTGCTATTTTAGACCTATCTGTAAATTCTCAAAAAGTGCTCTTAGTGCCTTAGAGTCTACTATACCTTTGTAAGAGTAACCTTATCCAGGCAGAATTTCTATATAATGTACAAATAAGGTATCATAATAAACTGCCTAATTAGAAAAATTCATTTTTGATTCATCCCTCTGATGTTTATTAATATGTTAATTATGTTGGGGATAGTGGCACACACTTTTGATCTCAGCACCCACACCTTTAATCCCAGCACTTAGGAGGCAGAGGCAGGTGGATCTCTTTGAGTTCAAGGCCAGCCGGGTCTATATAGTAAGTTCTAGACCAGCCAGGGCTACATAGTGAGACTCTAGCTCTAAAAAACAAAACAAAAGTTAATTACAATATAGGTCAAAATGACCTATTCTGCGTTCTACTATAGCATATGTAATATTCAGCAGATTATTGCTTTGGTGATAGAAACTAGTATTGCTTTGCCTGTGAGGTAGCAGAATTTTAATGCTGTAAAGAAACTATAGGGCTGTAGATTATATATATATATATTATATCCTCACCTTAACTTATATAAGGCCCTGGGTTGGTTACCAGCAACAGCACCATCACCACCACCCCAAAAGAAGGAAAGAAAACAAGGTCCTCAAACCTTCGTAGTTTTTAAATCTAGGACATTTTCTGACACAGATTCATTATAAACTTCATTATAGGTTTTTAGAATGGGTATCATCAGTGTTTAAATCAAATTGTAGCAGATCAAACTGGCCTCAAATTATGTGCACCTGCCTCAGTCTCCTGAGTAGTGGGATCATAGTGTACCACCACGCCTAGCTTGAAATTGTTTTGGATACAGTGATGGATTGTGTTTTGTTTTGTTTTGTTTTGTTTTAAATCCCTAATGCTCAGCACACAGTGGAGGCACACAGGAGCCACAGCATATAGTATTATAAATCATTGTGTATGAAGTTTGGATTTTGAAATGTTGAAATGTACAAAGCCAGTTGGCTAGGTTCCATTCTATTCTATGGTAGCAATGGGGTGATTATCTTCCCAAAATGGCCTAACTAATGTTCTACATAGGAGAAAGTGACATCCAGCTGTAGCTTACAAATGTCTAACAACCTTTCTGTTAAGTAATATACTTAATGATTTATTTTCTGTCTCCTCACTGATTGGAAGCTCCATAAAGATGCAGATATTGTCTTGTTCATTAGTTCCTTTACTTTTATTCTAACTATAAATTATTTCCTGTTCTTTGGGATGGTCCAACACCTGAAATTTGAGCCAGTTCATTTTTAGGCAGAATAACAATGTTCTGGTAACTGTCTCTTAACAGTTCTTGGGAAAGAAAGTAAAGGATCAGAATTGGAGCTTAGGTCACCCCCATCTACTAACTTTGTTGCTTTCCTAGCAACCAAGAGAAGGGTAGAAGATTATGAATAAGTAGCAGAAACAGAAACATGTGATGGTAGCCATGGACCTCAGTTAAACTTCCTTCTCTTCAGTGTTTAAAGTAGTGTAGCCAGCAAGAATTCTAGCTGATAAGATAACAGCCCACTGCTAAGTCCTGTTAATTTCCCCTGAATACTACACCCTAATCCAGCTTTCATCTCTTCTACTCTACTGTGGTCCAGATTTGCATAATCTCCCATGGGACTGCTACAGGAGCATTGGATGTTTCTCCACATCCTCTCTAAGTCCATCCCATTTATTCATTCATTTTCTACATTGTGTCAGCTTGACCTTTTCAAAATGCAAATCTGGTTTTAACAATCTACTTAAAACTCTTGAGATTGTATTCTTAAAATACAGACCAATGTTTCTTAGACCTCAATATTCTTCTAGGTCTGAGCCTGGTTTCTTTTCCCACTTTAGCCACACATGCCTTTTTTTCCATCTTCTCTGATGCCATTTCCTTTGCCGTGGATTTGAACTTGTTACTCTTCTCTTCATTCAGCCCTATTCAGTTAAGTTCCTGCCATTTCAATTGTAACACAGTTGCTTTTTTGATGATGATAGTGTTTCAAAGTTTTTTAAGTGCATATTTATTTCTATGCAGGTATATGGTTTTTGTGTAAGAATAAGAAAATGCACTTTTACTATTCTGTCGTACGAGGATCTTATTAATATTTTGAAAGCCTTTTGCTTTTTAGTAACATTCAAAAATATAACAGTATTAGCAAAGTAACCAAGGTTCTTTCCATTGTGTTTCTTCAGTCCGTGGATCAGAAGGACTGTACATGGTGAATGGACCACCTCATTTCACAGAGAGCACAGTGCTTCCGAGGTATGGCCTATCTTAGTGAATGGTGTATAGGAAATACACAATGCGTTCCAAATGGTTTTTGTTTGTGACACATACTTTTTAAAGATTTATTATTTCATGTGTACACGTTTTTTGCCTCCATGTATTTAAGTGTACCACAAAGTGCCCGTGGAGGCCAGAAGAGGCCATCAGATCTCCTGGTACTGAAGTTACAGACATGTAGGTCTTGGGAATCAAACCCAGAACCTCAGCAAGAGCAGCAAGTGCTCTTAACTGTTGCACCATCCCTCCAGCCCCCGATGAAATATTTTGAACAAGAAAGAAAAAGAACAAATAAGCTAGTTTCTTGGGACATTTTATTAGCAAGATGGAAAGAACAGTCAGGCATGGCAGTGCACACTTTTAATCCTGGCACTCCAGAGGGAAAGGAAGGTGGATCTCTGTGAGGTTGAAGTCAGCCAGGTCTACATAGTAAGTTCCAGGCCAGCTGAATAGTGAGGCCCTGTCTTTTTTTTTTTAAGGGGGGGGGGGGGGGAGGGATGGCTCAGCAGTTAAGAACACTGGTTGTTCTTGTAGAAGACCCAGGTTTGAATCCCAGCACCCACATGGCAGCTAATAACTGTCCATAACTCCAGTCCCAGGGGATCCAACAGCCTCTTCTGACCTCCGCCGGCAGGTGCACTTACCTACATGCAGGCAATACATGCATACACATAAAATAAAAATAATTTAAAAAAAGAAAAAAAGAATACATATTCTTTATTAAGAAAAACAATCTTCAGATTTGAAAACGAACGGCTTAGCAAGGAAAACTATAGATGTTAGTGTACTTGAGCTTGAGCTTTTTGATAGGAAATCTTTATTTACAGAATGAGAAAAGCTTTCAAATGTGATAGTCAAATCACTACTAGTAATCTTCATGATATCAGAAGATGGAAGTTCCTTAAAAAGGAAGGGAATAGAATATATGCGCATAATATGTATCAGAATAAATATATGTTTCCAAGAAAGAAACTATAAAATGTTAAACCAAAACTGAATAAAAATGTAATCTATAATGGCAGACAGAGTTATAGGATTCAGGAGACCTATCTCTGAATGAACTTTGTTATAAATATAGTTTTGACGTTGGTCCATATGATTTTAAATAATAAAAATAAGATGACAGCCAGGTATGATGGCATATGCCAGGCAGAGGCGGATCTTTTTGAGTTCAAGGCCAGCCTGGTCTACATAGTGAATTCCAGGCCAACTCGGGCTACAGGGAGACTCTGTCTCAAAAGGACCAAAATAATAATAATAAAGTGACTAAGTGAAGTAAATGAATTTAGCTTATAATGAGGTGGTGGTATAATCATATGAAGACCCACAAAATTCTTGAATACATTTAATAGTTTTATTGTCAACAAAGAACTGTTATTGTCATTTGAAGCTATTGTAGAATAAAGCAAATAATTCTGCTAGCTTTCTGTTGCTGTGACCAGAATATGTAAGAAAACAAAGGGAGGTGTTTCTTTAGGGCTTCAGCCCATGGTTGCACATGGGCAGAGCATAATGGTGGCTTTCTCCACCTTGAGGAGGACTGGAAGTAGAACTGCACAGTAGTAGGACTCAGCCAGGGCAAGATACAGCTCCCAAGCAGAAGCCGCCAGGGACCTTCCTCCAACCAGACTCCAGCTTCCACAGTTTGCACCTTCAGATTTTGAGACCGTCAATAAATAGGTTAAACCATTTTTTAGATAGAAACCCTCATGAACACACTCTCATGTACACACCCCAAGGTTTGCTTCTAGACTAATCTTCTAGACTTTTCTCAGTCCAGTCATGATAATTGTATGAATTTAAGGATAAAATAAGAGTAAAGAGAGAGACTTGCTCATATGAGCTCATGATTTCTTCTTATAAAAGCATTTGTGGGACTGGAGAGATGGCTCAGCAGTTAAGAGCACTTACTTGCTATTGCAGAGGACTTGGGTTCAATTCTCAGCACCTAGCATGACTGCTTAAAACATTATGCCATCCATAATTCCATTTCCAGGGAATCTGATGTCCTTCTGGCCTCCACAGGGACCAGGCATGCAACTGGTGTATAAAAATGTATGTAGGCAAACATTCATGCACATAAAATAAAAATAAATAAAATCTTTTAAAAGAAGGGAGAGATTGAGGTTATAGCTCAGTGGTAGAGCACTTGTTTAGCATATATCAGACACTGAGTTCAGTTTCAGTACTGGAAAAATAAGCAAACAAAAACCAAAAAAGAAGCCAGGTGTGGTGGCACACACCTTTAATCCCAGCACTGGGAGGCAGAGACAGGAGGATCTCTGTGAGTTCAAGGCCAGCCTGGCCTCCATTAGCGAATCCAGGCCAGCTGTGGCTACAGGGAGACCTTGTCTCAAAAAGACCAAAAAAATTAAATAAAATAAAACCAAAAAAGAAACCCAAATCCAATTCAAGTCCTGGGCATTAGATGATAGGAAGAAGCTATTTTGCCAGGCATGGTAGCACATACCTTTAATCCCAGCACTTGGGAGGCAGAGGCAGGTGGATCTCTGTGAAATGAGGCCAGCTGGGGCTAAAGGGAAACCTGTCTCAAAAAGACCAAAGATCAAAGGAAAAAAAAAGTTATGTGAGATAAAATGGCATAGCTGTGATTACAGTGTTTTTAAAATGTCCTTATCAGTGGAGCATATTGAAGTATACACATAAAATGATATGACATTTGATATTTTTGTTAATTCTTGTATTAAAAATAAAATTTGAGACGAAATGAATAAAATTGGTTTTAAGTTAACATTAGATTATCATAGTTTTCTATATTTTTTACACACTTAAAGTTTTTTGTTTAAAAACTTAGACCAAAACATGTGAGAGGCAGAGGCAAGTGGATCTCTGTGAGTTTAAGGCCAGCCTGGCCTACAAAACAAGTTCCAGGCTAGCCAGCGCTACATGGTAAGACCCTGACTTTTTTTTTTTAAAGGGGGGGGGGGCTGGAGAGATGGCTCAGCAGTTAAGAGCACTAACTGCTCTTGCCAGAGGACCTGGGTTCAATTCCCAGCACCCACATGGCAGCTATGAACCATCCTTAACTCCAGTTCCAGGGGAATCTAAAGCCCTCTTCTGACCTCCTCAGCATTGCATGACACGGGTGCACTCACATACATGCAGGCAATACACTCATACACATAAAATTAAAATAATAAAATATTTTAAAAAAACAAAACAAAACAAAAAACAAAGCCAGGCATAGTGGCGCATACCTTTAATCCCAGCACTTGGGAGGCAGAGGCCTCTCTGAGATCCAGGCCAGCTGGGGCTGCAGGGAGACCCTGTCTCAGAAAAGACAATAATAATAATAATAATTAATAAAAGAAAATGAGGTAAGCAGGTTTGAGTAGGTTGGAATAAGCTAAACCTGTGAGGAATTAATGAGAAAATTCTGTCTTAAGGCTTGGGAATGAGTTGCAACAGCACAGGATATCTTGTTTTACAGCGAGATTTTGTAAAAGTTCTGTTAACTATAAAGTGAGTATAAGCACCATTATTGAGTACAGAAGCAAAAGTCATCTGCAGATAAATTAATGCACAGATAGTGTCCCATTTCAAAAGGATGTGTTGGTTAGTTCCTGGTGCTTCTGGTGTCATTTAAAAGTTCTCATTTAATGTCATCACACAAGTAGACATGTACATGTGTTCTGAAGCACATTTTTGTCTGGGTCTTCATTGTTACTAGGAGATGTACTCATCATGAGCATCCGCAGGAGATACAGTACTTACAGTTTTGATTATGTTATAGAATATTGCCAACTAGTCAGATTTTAACAGATGCTACAGAATCCTTCATTTACTGTGATGATCCTTAAGTTGCTTTTATACATTGTCTCTACACAGGAGAAACTGATGAAGGTCTTTGTCTCTCAGATCCAGAGGCATTTTTAGTCACTCAGAGTATTCAGCCCACAGCTGTTGCCTCATGTAGGTAGTGTGGGTGCATTCTCTACAAAGTATCGGCTTATCCCTCAGCAGCTTAGAGATGACACCTAGTAACTTTCATAGTCAGCTTCCTTTCTTTGTTTTTTTGTTTTTGTTTTTGTTTTGCTTTGTTGGTTACTTACCAAAACATCTGTTTCTCAAGGTTTATATGCTGGCATGAAATCAATTTCCAGTGTACTTTACAGTAGTTGTTAACATTGTATTTTAAAAGATAAGTTATTTCAACATACTAAAGCATTTTGGAATGTTTTCCAAAATTTGTATCAATTCTTTGCCAGGCGTGGTGGCCCACACCTTTAATCCCAGCACTGGGGAGGCAGAGACAGCCAGATCTCTGTGAGTTCAAGGCCAGCCTGGTCTATATAGTTCCAGGACAGCTAGGGCTACAAGGAGACCCTGTCTCAAAAAGACCAAAAAAAGAAAAAGATTGTATCAATTCTTAATCATTGAATTAATGGATTATTTTCCTTTTTTTGGAAAAGTATTAATACCTATTTAAACTTTTTTTTTTTTTTTCAGGGAATCTGGAAAAAATTGCAAAGTCTATACCTTTAGTAAGGATGGGACCTTGTTTGCCTGGGGCAGTGGAGACAAGTTAGTGATCATCTATATAACATTTTATTTATGTGTGTCATGAGTATAAACATAACTGACGTGATTTGGACATCATTAATAAAATCCGTTTTTTATTGTCTTGTCTGGTGAGAGTGTTTTATGGATATGCCATAAATTATTTGAGTTCTGTGGTAACTTAGAATTAAAATTAACATGAGAAAAATGATTAATTTATTACTGAAGAGATTGAAAAGTTATTTTAAATAGTGCCCTAAGTTATTGGTTAAGGGTTCTTAAATTCTATACTAGCATTTAGAGAATAATTCTTTTTTCTTGCTTATCTTATACTTTTATTTTTGCTATTAAATTAATAACCACAGTAAGTATTGCTATTCTATTGTGTATTAAAAGTAATTATTCAAATGAGTTATTAGTATGGTTTATATTACAGAAATATCAGATTATAAAATTGGTCTTGCAAGAAAATAGTTATTTTCATTAAATGTTCATATTTTCTAAAAGCAGTCCTTTTTTTTTTTTAAAGAAAAATAATAAAATTTATTTTAAAATAGAATCTTGAAATAAAAAGAAACCAAAGCACATGTGTGGCTTGCAAGGCGGGTAGGACTAGAAGCAGGCTGGCCGGGCACAGGCTGGGAACAAAACACTTTGTTCTGTACCTCTGTGTGTCATTTGATTCAAGGCCCATGTGAATGCATCACCTATTTAAAACCAAACTAAATACAATTTTAACTTTGAAAAGCAGTCTTTTTAAATTTTCTATAAAGTCACTACATTTTATTTCATAGATCAAAGAAAATGTCCAAATATTTGTTGCTTTTCATTGCTGCTGTTATTTTTGTTGTATTTAATCATTTATTACACTGTTAGGCTTTTCAAAAGAGAAAAAATATATTATGAATTTGAAAAATACATTTAAATGTTGTTCCTTATAGTGGTAATGCATTCTGAAATCTTCGAAAGGTCAGGAAAAATACCTTTTTTTAATTAACTCTTAAAGAATATATATTAAGTTAGTTGATTCTCCTTTTATAACTATAGGTAACTGACAGGATTCATTTTTATAATTAAAAAGGTTAATCCCATTTCTTAAGTTACTGAATCCAACCAATAAGCTACTTGCAATTTATTAACAATATAATCACTTTGAGTCTTAGCCACAATGCTGACAGTCTTAATCATAACAACAAAGATAGAATACATGTTCTCAAATTTTATTTACTTCACTACAACCTGCTTATGGGTATTTCGGTTTTATTTTCTTTTAATCCATATTTTAATTTATACTGTTTGGAGTCTGTAGAAATTTACTGCTTACAGTGAT